AATGATGTCTCGCGCTTAAGATGCTGCTGACCTTTAGATGTATCGGTATTTTTTATAGGATAACGTATTTTTTTATAAATAACAAACGAGCACACAGTCCACTTGATGGTAAGTGGATGCTGTTGCCTATAGACATCCACATTTATCCTCGATTAAGAATCAAAACGCAGATACGTTGTCACCCCTAAGGACTAAGATGGAATACCTCGTTTTCAGTAAAAAAGGATCTCCGGATCTCTACACTCACCATGCGAAAGTTTGTTTGCACTTTGTACCTCGCGTGTTGTATAATGGTGACTCGTTTGCTAGCCACCTTGTGTAAAATCAACGTAGTTAAATGGGTCAAGATTTTAGGTCACCAAAGAACAATATAGTTTAGCACGATTATTCTTTAATTATTGAAAAAAATATTTCTTTTAATGGCAGTCTTACTTCTTACATAAAACTAAGCTTCAAGATTATATAATGTCTTCAGTGACCTCTAATATTAATCGAATCTAATTTTTAAATTTGCTTTTAGATTCTAATATTCGAAGACATGTGAACTCCACTAACATGCATTGGGGCAGGGAAGTCACTTCTTTGTCCTTATAATTTACAGAAATAAGAGAAGGCATGTGCCCAGCCCGGCGTATTGACACTGTAACTTAAAGAGATGGTAGGACTTCTTTTCTGTTCAGGAGACCGTCTGAATAGGTTCCGCCTCTTAGCTATTTCTATCGTCCAGCAGCAGTTTTTGTACTGCTGTGTTCCAGTCTGAAGGGTATAGAGGGCCAGTATAATTACATTATACTGGCCATCTTACCTTACACTACAGAGCCTTACATTACAGAGCCTTACATTACAGAGCCTTACATTACAGAGCCATACCATCCCAGTCCTCAGAGGTGACAAGATACATGTAACCATCTGTATTTAAAGTTGACTGCACGTGTCTATAGACTGCAGTAGCTGCTTACTCTGAGGTGGAATATCAGTTCGTTTGTCACATTAGTTTTATAATAAAAAACGTTGATTATTTAATGAAATTTTTTTTCTAAAAAGTCATTAAAAGTCAAATAGCAGCACCATGCTGCTGTATTTCGTATGGTGTGTGTAAAGAACTGTAGACTATTTTTATTGGATAACAGGCATTCCATCTCAGTCCTCATGATTGAAAATGTATCTGAATTTTGATTCTTTAGAATGTATGTCTATGGGTCACAGCATCCACTTACCATCGACAGAGTTGTATGCTCACTCGTACCTATTATTCCATAAAAAAATTCGCATTCTAAAAATGCAAAATTAAAATGGTTATCTTTCAAAATAAGAACATTAAAATCAATACTATAATGCACGCATATAATTTAGAAAGAGATTTTAGAACATATACTTCCACCAGAGGTTGAACCACACGTTGACAAGTATGAAGGTTTGATGTTGAAAAGACCACGTCCGCACAGAACACTAGCGTAAAGTAATAACATAATGTTGCTATCTTCCGGATGTTAAATGACGAGAACTGCAAGCTCTGTTACTCGTAAGTAGCGATCCCATCTTCGTTTTCGGGAGTAATAACCCGTCTTCATTTTGATAACAGTCATGTATTGTAAGTGATCGTTTGTCACAGTTACTTCTAAACAAAACAACCAAAACCACCGTTGTTGACGTCGTTGCTCAAATACGTTACGTTAACGAGAAAATTGTATTATACGTTATATTTTCTTCCATAAAATGGAAATAGTATACAAGTCTACGAAAAACTATAGTAATAATTTAGAGAAAATGAAATAAAACAAACTAATGAATATAGTTTTTGATGGGCATTAAAATTGAATTCGTCACAATTTTTTTTACCTTACTAATTGCTCAGACCAACAAAGAAAGATATATGGAGCACTGCGTACATTTCAATAGCTTAATCATATAAAATTACTTTTATTTGATTAATTAAACTCGTTTGTTATCCAATTCTATAAAAAAATCTTCACTACTAGCCGTATAAGAATCATTAAGGTTGCTCAGCAAGCTTTGAAGGAGGCGTTGATCAAAGTTTCTCTGCATGATAAACGGATGCAGGCAAACATTACAATTTTTAAACTGTTTAGGTCAACACATGGAGTAGGTACTGGAAGGTTCAGTCAACGATGCAAGATGTAGGACATCTTATTATTAAGTAAATTTGCCAGCCAAGATGAATAGAGGGCTAAGAAAAAGACTAGTCATTCTTATTGAGAACACAACATTATATTCGAACAAAAACACTAATATTTGTAATATTTGCGCTTCATAAATACCAATTAAATATAATTTATTATAATTAATTTCAATTCTATTGTGATAAATAGCACTTTTGTTTATTGCTTGAAAATTTAACACAATTCCCTTATTTATTAGACAAATATACGCAAGAAATTTGAATTTAGTTGCTATGATAATTTCAGATGAGATATTTACCCTACTTAAATGTAGTATTTCGCTGGAAAGTTTTTCCTCCACTGCGGCGAATTTAATAAATTCATTTCCAAGCAAATTTCCAGGGTACGATCACTATTGTATTCTATCGATTCGATCGATATTATTACGTTGTAAATCGCACGTAGGTACGTACACGCACACTTACCCATTTTCAAAACTTCTACTATAGCGAGTGAGGGTAATATGGTCACTTTCTTATAACTCAAACATTACAGTTTCATTTTCATAGAAGGCTCTGTGATACGATATCTCTTCATCAGTCAATCAAAAAATGAAGGGTCAAAAGGGAGCTGCTTTATCGACGACATTTTGACAGTTTTTACTATAGTAAATATTTTAGTCGATTTTAGTATTTTGTAGTATAAATAAGTTTTTTAAATAGATTTTTCGAAGTGTTCCTAATTATCACCAAAGATTGTTTGCTTTTTTTTTCTTAATATACAATGTTTGCTAATATCTGAATTACTTATATAATCAAATTATAAAAGTAATATCGGCTTAAAAACAAAAAGATTGAAATAATTTCCACCTAATAGTTTCAAAAATCGGTGCAAAGACATAGTGCATCGGAAAATCAAGCCTTGACTTTAGAAGCTATTGCGTGTAAATTATTTTATCCTTTCTTATTGAAGTGAATCTGAATGATGACATTATTGAGAACTTTGTGATAAGAAAAAAGTGTGGTTTGAAAGATGATCTTGTGACCAGGATTAAGAAAGGTATGCTTATTTTGTTTAGGCACTTAGAAATAATGAATAAGGAAAGAGTAATAAAGCAAACTTATGCTGCAGAAGTGCATGGCAGAGTCGGAAAGTGACATTCAAGATGGAAGTTTATCGACCAAATTTACTTAGATATTTGAATTTGGCCCGTATTTGATACTGAACCAAATTGAAAGTACCCTTAACCGAAGAGCATGTATAGAGTAATGTATAGAGAGGTGTGTCAGGAACATTGTCAAATAGAAGTCTGTAGTCTCTGCCTACCTCTCTGGGTTACAGGCGTGAGAGTTTATATTATGTTATATATTTCTGAAGTCGGTATTGATATTGTTAAAGTTTAATTAGTTTTATCCCTCTGATTGGAATATTTTACCCCTTTGAGTGGTACATTAAAAATTTCATCTCTTACATAAAATTTTCTTAAAATCTATATGAGCCTGACTCTGGGTTACAAATTAAATAAAAAAAGTAAAAGCATTAAAATTGGTGTAAACACAGAAAAAAAAATACGCGTTGAATTATATAAACCTCATCGTTTTGGGAACGCGTTGAAAAATATGTGTGGATTTCACGCAGGAATTTCTTCCGCTACTATCCGAGAACATAAAACAACGTAGACTGATGGAGTCGGCATATATTTTTAATGGAGAGGAACGAGCGAGTCTGAAATAAAAATTCACTGCTCTCAACGTTATTTTACCATAAAGATTGTTGCACGTACTCAATCATGTCCAAAGATAAAAACTGACGTGAACTAATATTCACCAACTACCTCATATTGTCGTGTGAGATTCATAAAAATCAACTGATGGAAAGTAAAACAAAAGACGCAGCAGCAGCTTTTCCTGATAACAATTTAAATTAACACGTTGAACGCCATGGGGGTCACCGGTGACCTCATCTGGTTTACTTTATTGCGCCATGGGGGTCACCGGTGACCTCAAGCGAGAGGCATATTCGAAATGTATTTTTTGGGCCGCCGGTCACGCGTGTCGTACATTTCGTGTATGCGAGTGACCGCTTTGGCGCTATAGAGTAATCCTTTTCAAGGGGACGTGGCTACTTAGAAAATTTTAGGAAATATGTACAATATCCTTAAGATAAAATAAAAAAAGCGACTAATTTCATGATACATGACTTTTAATCACATTAAATCTTAAAGCTATTACAATGCACATTATTAAAAATATAAAACAAACAATATAAACTTCAAATTAAAAAAAAAATGTCTTCTTACACAGGAAAAAATCCAGGAAATGCTACAAAAATTACCATTGAAATAAAAATGCAATCAGAAAAAATTAAATCAATAATTGACTAGAAAGAACTAAACATAACGATGGATCTTATTAAAACAGGATAAACAGATATGTGGGTTTCCATCACATTGAGCGCAAAAAGTATTAACCTTTTTTAGCTTTATTTTTCGCCAATTTTCGTCCAAACTGCTTTACCATATCTTTGTAACAGTGTACACAAAATCGTCTAGTATTTCTCACTGTCCCAGTTTTTGTTAGCAACTCGTGCTTCAAACGTTTGGGTCTTGATACCGTTACTCCCGACTCAGTCTGCTGAGAATATGACGAGCTTGTTAGATAGTCTACTAGAGATTTCCGAAACTCTACGATTGACATTTTTGTGTTCCTAGTTTCGGTATACGTAATCCATGCATTTACTACGGCAGTATTCAACAAAATCTCAATACCAAGTTTCCGGCACCACTTAATAGTTTTACGTAAGGGAGAAGAATACGACGACATTTGGTCGCTCATATCGACAGATCCTTTTGACTTATTATAATCTAAAATCACTTTCGGCTTAGTAATCTGTTTGACCTTTTTTGGCGATTGTTGACATTTTATCAGAATGTTTAGTAGAAAGCATCATCACGTCCCGCTTATCTTTCCATTTTAAAATTGTTATACCATCCTCGTTTTCCATGGCCATGAACTCTCCCTTTTGAAGTTTGGCTTCTACTACATCCTTAGGTAAACCTCTTCGGTTTTTCCTAATAGTCCCAATCAAGTGCGTTTGATGTTCCAGTAAATTGTAAGCCAACTCTAAGCTGGTGTACCAATTATCAGTTGCCAAAGTGTGGCCTTTGTTTAATATTTGGCTACAAAGAGACATTACCACTGATGTAGGCGTAGTATTTACGGTATCGATATTTTTACCGCCATACAACGAAAATTTGCAGGTGTACCCGGGAATAGTACATAGTTTGAATAGCTTTAAACCATATTTATGGCGTTTACTTTTATTGTATTGTCTAAATACAATCCGCCCTCTGAATGGAACCTGACTTTCGTCGACACAGATGTCTTCTTTCGGTGAATAATACTTTTGAAACGTATTATTGACCATATCTATAATCGGTCTTATCTTAGAGATTCGATCAGATTTATTTGCGGTTTCATTATCACTAAAATGTAGGTACTGTAGGATTATTTCGAATCTATTGCGGCTCATGACGGTACGTGGAAATGTCTGTCCTAAGATTTTATCTTTGCTCCAGTAATAGCTTAACTTTGGGAGTCTCACAAGACCCATGTATAGGATAAGTCCAAAGAAACGTTTAATTTCATGTCTGTCTGTTGGCTTCCAAGCATGAGATCTTGATGAAGGTTTTACATTTCTCGATTCGCAGGATTGTAAGGCGAATAAGTTGGTCTGCTCTACAATCATATCGAAAATTTCATCAGACACTAAAAGACTATAAAAAGCTCCCGGGTCTGCTTCTTTTAATGTAGTAGAAAATTCTTTGTTCATACCTGAAGTTTCGTTAAATGGTATAATAGATGGTTGTTGACGCCTAGGGCGTGACCATTTCTTTGACACACGATCTGAGGCGGTAATATTGGCTGTCACATAATTTCGAACGGAATCAGACTCACTCTCACTGTCGCTTTGGATGATTAAACGTGTTCGTTTTTTCGGAATATGCAACTGTTCTTCGTTTGAATCCGACAACTCTAGATCTGATTGATTATCTTGTTCATTCTGCTGTATAATGCTAGTCTCGAGTAATGTTAATGCCCGCAAATCTTCCTGTGTAAAATCAAAATCTTCCATGTCCACCTGTATTTCTTCAAAATTTTTACTGCTAAATATTTCCATTTTTAATTATTTATTGCAATGTTCATAATATTCAAGTTCACTGCACACAATATCACACTAATTAAGTACTTGACGCAAAGTATTACAGCAACATAGAACACTCACGTTTTCTCTTCACGGGCGCTAGCGCAGTACTGAGCGGGTGGGTGGCCGACGCGGTGACCGGCGTGGCGCCTTCGTAACGGAAACTATTTTTATTACTTTATAGCGCCATGGGGGGCACCGGTGACCTCCAGGGTTTTTTTTGTTATATTTACGGAACCCTATGGCAGATTCTTATGAAAAACAGTATACATACATACATATCTTGATTAAATACATAAATTACAAGTTTTTTTTTTTACAAAAGACTTTTTTCTATAATGGCGTTTAACGTGTTAATAAAAAATCTGCGGTAGACAACCCAGTTGCCAAGAGTGGCTGTTATAGTAAAATCCCTAGGAGGAAATCTATGGGCCTATCTTCGGCAGTTGACTTTAGTAGACTGTAATGTGATGTAAGAAGGAATATGCTAACCTTTATTGCCAAATGTCTCTTTTCGCACACACATTTTAAAAAGTGGAGCCACGCTGCTTTTCAGCGTATTATGACTATAGTACGAATAAGTCCCCTCGAAGGAACTAGTACCACACTCACACAAAATACTAATTAAATAGCAAAATAATACTACTGTGACTTATGGTCGAGGAAACGAGAATCGGACGCCCTTGTGATGGTGGCGCATTTCGTCGCGGTCTGATAGTGATAGCGTGCACCAATACTAGTGCGAGTGTATCAACTGATCTGCGCACATATTCGAAGTAAGGTTGCTAGTAGACGCGTTGTTGGGAAAGTCTATATTATGCACTAAATTAAATGATGTCAATAAGGCAAGTAACTGCCTAAAAGCTTCTCATTTCTGGATTACAGTGTTTTGGAGATAGGAAGATATTGCAACTTGGCCTCCCTTACATAACTCCAATCTTATCGCATCGTGCACTAGTAGAATTTTATAAAGATTAATTGTGACTAACTCCCGAGAACTAATATGGAATGCCACGTTAACATTGAAAAGGATTTCTGGTTCTAAAATATCGCTTTTACCTTAAAAAATTTGGTAGCAATAATCTACTACCATCATCATTAAAACCTATTTTCATCAACCTGATGAACATCGCAGAACACGGTCCCGTTATTTGACGCTGGTGTTCTGTGCGAGCATGGTGTACCGGGGATAATAAAACTGTAGCGTGACTCTACCAATCGTCTACGACCTGCAGTGCCTTTTTTACATTTATTGTAATATGAATAATGTTGTTAGCTTAGTCTCAGGTATAAAATCGAGTCTGTTACAATCCAGGTAAATCTCATAAAAATATGCGATATAAAAGTAAAGTATGGACTTTGACAGCAAACGTCCAATTGCACAAAGACTGTCACCGGGCTAAGGAACTTCTTTGGTAAGAAAGGCTCTTAGATAAGGCATTTATTTCGCAACGAAGGAAGTGTTAAGCCATAGTTTAAACTCGAGTCTAGATAAAACAGGCATTGTACTAAGGTAGCTGGTATTGAACACTTGTTTTTTTTTATTTAACCTACTAAAAAGAGCACCAAAACTTGATTTTTTTAATTTTTTGGACTATCCTATTAGTATAATATGTAGATTTCTCCAGTGGAAAAACTATACAAATTAGCCATGTAGTTTTTTTTTAAATTACTTACATATTATAATAACCGGAGAGACAGTTGCATACGTGTTATATATAACCTTAGAAGAGACAATGAACCTTCATTTTGTGTAAGTCGGTTGTTAATAGATTATTTTATTAATGACGAAAGATTGATAGAGATGAGAGACAGTATCTGCATATCGTACTGTCCAGTTATTGTTATTGATTTAAATCTATTAAAAAGACCATCAAAAAGTCTTTACGGGTTTCATTTATTTGACGTAAAGATTACGACTCAAACGCTGGCGGTCATTTATTCCTTATCGCATTTAATCAAGCGCGCCCTTGTGTCCCACAAGGGTGCCATTTTACTGCCTATAGATACGACTGATAGCTATCTGAAGACTTGTTGCTTAGTGTATTAAAGTACTCTAAGAAATTAAATACATTGTGTTAATCGAAAATAGCTTATGAGATCATATAACATATATTGTGGCTTTCTTGGTGGATGGTCTATGTTCAGCTATGGACTTGTGTGAGGTTCTGATGATTGAATGAACAGGTCACTCCACTCCACTTTTACGTAGTAGAGTTACGCTGCAGCTTGTAGCACAATTGGGTCGATTCGACCGGGGTAGAACCACGCTCTCACAGAATACCAGCAAAAAATGGCATCTTAATGCTCTTGTGTTTCGTATGGTAAGTGTAGAGAACCTGAGACCCTTTTTACTGGAAACGAGGCATTTCAATTCAGTCGTCAGAGGTGACAACGCATCTACATTATTAATTGAGGATAAATGTATCTTTTTGAATATAATGTCCCGTACAAGATATTCTATGGGACACAGCATACACTTACCATAAGTTGGCCTGTGTGCTCGTTTGTCACCATTGTTCTATAAAAAAATCTAGCAGGGGACGCCCTGCACTTTCCTTATCAATACGATACTGTCACTCGAGAACATTTCTTCCCCATCGTTTGTCGGGACTTGTTTATACTTTTAAGTGGCGTAAAAATGTTGGCAATCTAACGGAAGCTACGCACGCAGCTTAACGGAAGAACGTCCTTATTAAGTTGGTTGTGAAATAAAATATGAGTGAATAACTTCACTCGCCAAAATTTATTTTATAATAACAGGATTCCTTTGTAATGACTTCTGTTATTTATTTTGATAACGATTCTTTGTGATATAATTTAAACAAATAGTTATGACTAGCTATAAGAATGTTATTTTGCTTTTCATCTACGGCGAAGATTCGTTCTTGGAGTCATTCATATATGGCGTTTAGAATTTTGTTTTAGTTTATTTTAAATATTTGTAATCATGATAAATTCTTCTCTAATACTTGTAGTTTTGTAATACCCATATAAAATTTATTATTATATTGTTTGTTCGTATTTTATGCACTGCGTTCATCAGATTACGGTTAAAATTTGACAACATATTGTTTGCACTTCCGCGAAGCATATTTGGATCCGGTAGGTGGCGCTGTTGTAAAATCCAGATATCACCCGTGCGATACTAGCGCTGATCGTTATTTATTTTATAATAATTAGCAATTTCTGGTTTTTACGGTCTGCTATCGTCATTAGCTAGCAGCCACATTTGCCTTTTGTGCCTTATTGGGTTTCCAGCATGCGCATTGTTGTAGAAAAATAATAATAAACGTGATAATTTACAGTAACTATATACTCTTTAGTCATATAATATAATTCAGTTTAGTAGAAGTATATTTATTCGTCGGGTTAAGATATAAAAATAAAGAGTAAAGATGAACTGCAGCAAATATTCTATAGTGTAACAAAACACCCAAAAACACTCTTTACTATAACCCTTTTTTGCTAATTTTAGATAAAAAGTTATATTATATTGTTCATTTTGTATTAGAAAATTAATATTTATTGGTGCTGAAGCGAGATTTGTAATTTGATGATTTGTAATCAAAACTTAATCAAATGTGTATGCGCGTGCATACAAAATTGATATTTAATTAATTTTTAGTAAATAGACGTGCAGTAGATTAATATCAAAACAGATTAATTCAAAGAAATCCCTTCTAGAAAGACACATTTATTAGCAAGGAAAGTATAGTAAAAAGATTTCGGAATCAAGATACGAGAATCTCAAGATCCGTAGGACACAAGTAAAGACACGTCACAATGACAGGGGAAGGCCCGTATAGCTGATTAGGTTCGTATGTTTAGCGTTAGGGTAGCGAATAATAAATAATAATAAATTTTATATAGGTATTAGAAAACTAACAAGTATTAGAGAAGATAATATTTATCATTATCGATTACATTGCAATATTTAAAATAAACTAAAAAAAAAGTAACCCAAAATTCAAAAAGGCACCAAACGCCTAAACGCGAAACCATATATGAAATACCAATGACACTGCCAAAGAAAAACTGAATCAAACTCCATTTCTTATAATCATATACTTTGAAGTTGTTTGCATTAGTAAGAACTAGTTAATATGGATATCTATCTGTTACGGACCTATTCTGGCTTTACATGGTATTTGTTATAAGTTCTTTTTGTAGCATCGTCACTCTGAAGGTTTACCTAGTAGCTTACAATCGCAATCGATAGCGGCACCTAATCAACATTATCCGGTTTATGGCTTTCTTTATAAGTACAGATGCCTAAAAATATTATTTTGTAAGAATTATCTGTTCTACACTTTTTTTAAACTTTTATTCTTAAATATTTTTTGTTCCTTAAATAAAAGAATTTTATTTTTATGTTTATTTAATTTTTTCGTACATGAATTCGACACTAATTAGAATTAGAGAGCCGTGGTAGCTCAGATGGTTAGCGCTCGCTGTAAATTTCACAGTAGACAAGCAAACAGGGTTTGATCCCCGCCGGCACCAATGAAATTGTTAATTGCAATTTTAAGTGCTGATTTACTGCGTGCTCGGCGGTGAAGGAAAACATCGTGAGGAAAGCTGCATGTCTGAGAAATAAGAAAAAAATATTTCAAAGACATGTGAAGTTCGCCAACGCGGCGGACAATTCCTTGCCCTAAAACCCTCTCAGAAATGAGCGGAGGCTTGTGCCCAGCAGTGGGACGTACATAGACTGTAACTTTTATGAATTCAATACATGTACATTAAAAATGCTAAATAAAACATTATCATAACAAATCTCAAGGGCGGTGTGAGAATATCCACTACCTTATATCACCTCGTAGCTATTGTAAGAGGCGATAGTGGGAAACTGAAACGGAGGATGGATAACAGCATCTTCCTGGTAACAACTCAAAATAATAAAAAAGGCGGTTGCCAATCCGCCTGCCAAACGTGGCAACTATGGCAGAGTTCCCCCGAGGAAATTTTAGGAGGGCTATATTCATCGCTGAACTTTTATAGATCGTTATGGATGGATGAGTTGAAAAAATAGAAGGGGAGTATGATTTATATATGTGTTTCGTATTTAGCGTAGTAGAGCGATGCTGTTGCTATGTTATGGCTACAATATTAATCAGTCAGCTTTCGACCCTGGACTACGCTCACACTTATTACCAGCGTCAAACAACGGCGTAGTCCTGCTATATTTGGTGATAATATACCTATATATGCACGTCACAGCGGGGAGCGGGTTCGAATCCTGTAATGTACAAGTCAAATGCTAGCTAGCCTTACATTTGAATATTTTTAATGGAGTAAAAGTGACAAAAAAGCACAAATCACCTAATGGTAAGTGGATGCCGATAGACATCAAAATGTATTCTCGATTAAGAATCAAAATGTAGATATCTTTTCAACCCCGCGGATTAAAATGGAATGCCACGTTTCCAGTAAAACAGGTCTACGATTCTCTACAGTCAACATACGAAACACAAAATAGCAGCTAATAAATAAGTGCTATTTTACGCTAGATTCTTACATATGTTTTCGGTAAAGCCGACCTATCCGAAATATGAATATGTATATATACATATATATATATATATATATATATATATATATAGTGTTACACCCATTATTTTAAGGAAAAAGCCTTTTTTTATATTAAGTTAATTCAGTTCTAAATTAGGTTTTTGGACCGAAATATTTCAGATGTGTGCTTCGACAGCGTACGTTTTAGCACGTTCATTTGCATTCATTTGAAATATTGTGAACAAACATTCACATACATATGTCGAATTTTCTTATTTTAATACAAATAGTAAAAAACGATACTAAAAAATTGAACATTATTGTAAGTATTAACAAAATAGCTGTTGTTTTTTTTTGTTTTCTTCTTTTTCAGTGAAAGTTTTGAAATGATACTCCTTTATCGATGTAGTGTAAAATTTTTAGTGCGGTATTGAAAATGTCACGGTTTCCTGTAACGTTTCACCGCCGTGACTGCATTAGTATACTATTATTTAACCTACTTATGGAAAATATATAATAACACACTATGTATCCAATTACACGTAATTTTTTAATAACTAGTAACATCAGATTTTCTACTATGATAAATAAATATGATAACGTAAAATAACGAGGAAAGTTACCTTTAAAATCTTTAGTTATATCTTCACTACCTGCTTCAGGAACGGATGACCGATAAAAATTTTTAATCACATAGTTTAACACTATTGTTCATTAAAGATAATAATCGAAAAATATTTTTAATTTTTAAGTTTTAAAAAAATAACCGAAATCACTTGCAATATTTTTAGCGGCGTTTCTTCAGTTCACAGTTTATGAAAATTGTTCATATATATGTTAACATATTAGATATAAGTATATATGTAAATAATAAACGTTGAAAAGTAATTAAATCTAAAAATATTAGATGCTGACCAAAACATTTTTACATCATATACCAGAAATTACAATACATTATTTATTGTTTCTATGACAGCGTAAATCAGTTACTTTCTTATTGTTTAATTTAATTTGTTTAAACACAACTTAAAATAAACTCAGTACGTAATATTTACATCTTCCCAATAGCACATTGCTGATAAAGCGTCTAAACGCAACGATGTCGCGCACCTGACTGGCGAGCTCGGGGCGAGATTATAAAATACTGCATGGATGTGATCCGATCCAACGAACTAACAGAGGTTCGCTGTGGTGTTCTAACAAGACTTTACATATCCTGAAATCACAAGTCAAAACGTTTTCAGTTATATGAAAAAATCACGAATGAAGCGCCAACTTCATAGACTTATTGTTTGGATAAACTATATATAATATTTCTTATATTTACGCAACATTGCACATATTAAAACTACTTTTACTAAAAAAACACATCCTGTTTTTACCAAACTTATATAATTAATAAAACTGGTATTTACGGATGTTATCTTGTATTAACGTATTTTATATTCCTGTCGTTTGAAGCAATTTACAGCATCCATAGTCATGGGGGGGGGACTGACCAAACTTATATATATATAAACTACAATTGGGTTAAGTTGTAAAATTAGTGTTAAGCTAAATTTTACTATTTTAAGGTTTACGACCTTCGGTTAGCACTAGCATAAATTATAGAAAGAAATATATCAGACTATTATTTATCTATTTAGGTCATTTGGAGTTTGCCGAATATACGGAATTGATTTTTAACCCTCGGTTAGTCGCGCTTTTTTGTAACGTCGTTCGTCGCGTGGGGTCTTTGAAAGCCCCTAAAATAAACTGGTTAAAAATACATACATTTATATAGTTACCTACATTATTTTATATTTTAGTCTTATATGATTCAATATCAATAAAATAAAATCAAAAAACATTTAATTATTTATATATTTATTGCTTCGACTTACATACTAGAAATAGGAACTAAAAATTCTCTCCATAAGATCACTAGGAAATTAAAATTAAAAAAATCAATAAATTTAAAATCTATTATAAAAACTTAAGTAATCCAGATCAAAATGAAATAGTCTATCATTTAATACAAAATTTGGTACACTTAATCACGAAAACATATAAACTTTGACATATTGAAAAGCTTAATTAATTTTCTTCTTCTTACTTTGTTGGGCAAATGTTGCCCTTACAAAAGTGACAAATAGAATTAAATTTCCTGTCTGTTCTTCGAGGTCAGTATACAATACATCGCTTTCTCATTGGCATAACGTTTATTCCGGGTTGAATATCCTAAATGGTGGTACAAATCTTCTTCAACTGTCTGTTTCAAATCACGCGGCAAATTCGTAATAGTTGTCCTCGATTGTAGATTCTCTCCCTTTTCTAACTATGTAAAATTTACTGGACGAAATATTTATCAGTGGTTCTTCATCCTCATCACTGAACGCAGATTTGAGAGCTTCCATAGATTCGTTCACCAGGATCTTCGTTTGATATTTCCAAAGATTCGTCATAATTCGAAAATACTTGATGCAAATCATCGTCACATTCTTGTTCCGAGTCATTGTCATGCTTACTCAGTTTATAAGGAAACATTCCGGTTTCATTTTTATCATTATCACCACTGAGGATCTCATGGACATCTTTTTCTAGCCTGCTCAATATGCGTCTTCGCTGCTGATTGTCCATTTTTTTAATAAAAAGATGATAAAAGTAATCTTAAACAATGTAAACCAACACAATATGATACAAAAAATTAAATTTTATTAATTATCAACGAAATTATAATATAAAATACAAAAAAGGAGTTGTATTACGAAAACTGCATAATAATAGGTTATAAAAATTACACTTACGCGGTTCGTCGCGTGGGGTCTATTAGAGCCCGCGCGCACACATACATATCCGTACTACATAGCGCTTGCGCGTGAACTGAAGTTAGCCGTAATGCGTGCCAAATATAATTCAATTCAGGAAGGTACCTAAGGAGCAGAGTCATTATGATTATTTTAAAATATAAGTTTTTATTGATTTTGTAATACCTGGGCTTTAAAGGCCCCACGAGACGACCCGAGGGTTAATTGCTTCACTGTTTTACCTTAGATTTAGTGCCTTGTCTTGTTTTGTTTGAAAATTATAGTATTTCAGTGTCGTTATTTTTCCAAACTAATGGGTTCAATACATTATAACTTATTTTTACAACCACTAGTGTTTTCTCCTGCACAATAATTGCCCAAGAACAAACATCCAAACCTAGAACAATTACATGTTGGCCGATAAAGTACTTGCTACGTACGGGATTCAAACCCGCGACCCTCAGCATAGTAACTCTTGCTATGGCACTGCGCCACGGAGCCATACATTTAGTAACAAAAGAAAAATCAACATTGGTTCACAATTGACGAAAATGCATACATACAAAAACATACAGTAGTGAAAGTGAAGGTATTGTGGGTCAAACAACAGAAGCAAAGCTTCTTACGCTATGTATAATATGAAATTCTATTATTAACTGATATAATCTAATTTCGATATAATTGTAAATTGTTATTCAAACATTTTTAGAAATATAAAAGAAAAAATAGAAGAGCATGAATGTGAGATAGAAAGCGCGTAGTTCCCTAACAATTCCCTTCCATTCATTAATACTATGCACTTCTCGCTCACACATATGCCTATGTGCACCGATATGCGCTGCCTAGCCAGCGAGGAGTGATGCAACTTCCGTCCCTATTTAGTGATATTTTACTTCTTTTGATTTAGGTCCCCATCCCAGCCATGCATTCAAATCTTCGCTTAAAAATATTTTACTACCAACACTAACCTTTAATGAGGAATAACTAAATTTAGTCCAGTTTAATCCCCAGAAAACACAAGTTTGCGCGTTTACCGCTAAAAGAAACCCATTTGTCGTGTCTCCTCCGTTTCAAGCTAAATCCAAGTGTTGCCTCAGCCAGTCTCGCAATCCTCGGCGTCGACATGTTTGGAGTAACGTGCAGTTTTGTGGTCACTCGGAAGAGAAGGGCAAATTGGCATCTATAAAACTTGGCGTGCTCAGTAGAGATCAGAGCGGGGCATGATTTTTGCCGGCTCACCGCCTGCAACTTTACAAGATGCGGATTCCACTTCACATGGAATACTGTTGCCGTCTCTGGGCTGAGCCTCCACAGCGCCAGGTCCTTCCATTTGAACGCATCCAGAGCCGTTCGAATCGTCGGCGACCAAGCTCTTTCCGATTGGCTTGACTCACTGGCACTGCAAAGAGATGTTGCATCTCTTTGCGTATTCTATCGCATCTACCACGGGGAGTGCTCTGAGGAACTGCTCGGACTAATTCCAGTCATAAAATTTCACCATCGCGACAAAACGCGCTATACCATCCATACCTTCTGGATGACTAGCGGTCCACCACCGTGCAATTTAAAAGAAGTTTTCTTCCTCGCAAAACTTCCTTGTGGAATCGACTACCACCAGAGGTTTTCCGGACCGATACGAATTAGGGACCTCAAGAAAAGCGCTTACTACTTTTTAAAAGGCTGGCAATGCATCTACAATTCAACTGGTGTTGCAGTTTGTTCATGAACGGCGGTAATCACTTACCACCAGGTAAGCCGTATACTCGTTTGCCCCCTCTCCTATAAAAAAGGAATATATATTCTTTACAACGTTTGTAATAGTTAATGGTAGAGACATGCTGCAGTTATATTAAAAGTATGTTTGTAGCACAAATGGGTCGGCTCGGCCGGGGAAGGACCACGCTCTCTCAGAATACCAGCGTAAAATAGTAGCTTAATGCTACTGTGTTTCGTATGGTGAGTGTAGAGAACCGGAGGCCCTTTTTACTGGAAATAAGGCATTCCATTTGAATCCTCACGGGTGACAACGCATCTGCATTTTGATTTGTAATGGAAGATAGATGTAGATGTCTATGGGCCACAGCAACCACATACCATCAGGTGGACTTTGTGCTCGTTTGTCACCCCATCATATAAAAAAGTATGTTCTGGGGATTAATGAGGAATATATAAAGTCACTGGCACATGTTAGTGATAACTTTCGAAACCGAAACCTGCTCCTTCACAGCTGGTCGCATGAGGAAGCACAAAGTCATTCAGTATGAAATAGAAAGGGATAGCCTCAGAATTTCTTTGAGATAAAGTTTGTAAAGAAAACATACGCAGAAGAAGAAGAGTAACTGATTTTTCAGTAAGCTGAAGTGGTAATGGCCGGCCCCTTAGCTTTAAAGAACCGCCGATCGATGGGGAAGAAAGGTTCTCAAAAGGCAACCTAGCAATGATAAGCGCCGGTTTGAACGCCCCCCCCCCACCAAATGGAGTGAAAAAAAAAACAGAAAGCCGACATATACAGATGGGGCAGAACCATACCCCATAGTAATATACTGGGGAAGCCTAAGTTCAGCTGTGGACTAGTGATGGGCAAATCACTGGTGATATTACATAGATATTATTATAGAGCGATAGCTCAAGAGATATAATAAGGTTATAATATTGAAGACGGAATAATATTTTATACAAATAAATTACAGCTTTTCATGAGTTGTAATAACGTTTAACGGTAAATTGTTACAAATATAAGGATATTGAGTTGTAAAATTCTAATAAGAAATTTTATGTCCCATTACAATAATAATAAAAATCCAAATTGATCAATTACTATACAGATAGATACTATAGATACTACAGAGATATGGGAGTACAGCGGGGATAATGAAAACTCTTTCTTATTATAATGTAATGTAAGCAATGGCTATATTATATAGTAGTAAATTGAACATGACTTTTGTTTTGAGTCCAGTCTTTATATATATATATATATATATATAATATATATATATATATATATTTCCCGGCTTTTCCCGGACACGGACCACGGATAACAATTTATTTTTATATATTGAGACAATTCTTCTGTATGTATACTCGTAATTGAACTCCTTCTAAACGGCTTGACCGTTTTTGATTGAAATGATTGGTATATGGCCCTGGATGGTCAAGATTTACAATCGGAGCGCTGTTGTGGAGTTGCCGAAATCACCCGAGCGAAGCCAGGGTGGATCGCTAATTTATTTATTGGAGACAAAACAGAAACAAAGATATAAAAATCATGCAAAAAAAAATAAACATTATAATTAACAATTATTCCTATCAAATTGTCGCACTGAGAACATACATAATATTATGTATATGTGTAGATCGTAAATGGTATCGTCTGCACAAGCAAGTATCAAAGACGAGTATATAAACTTAAATATAAAGAAAATAATCTTAAAACTAAAATGTTCAACGCAAAATATATCCTTATATATTTAATTCAAAATTGTTACAAAAATATTTTTTTAATTGATTTTCGAAGGCCGAACACATCGAGGATGTTAAGCATTTTATTGTGGAGGACACACATTCTGTGTATTGGTGCTCTTTTACCAATGTTAGTTCTGGTTTATGGCACATGAAAAAAAAATTTTGATCGTGTTTATTATATATTGCAAATAGATTAACTGGAAATAGGTGATAATTTTTTGCCTTGTTGCGACTTCGTAAGACTTTCCAATACTAAGATTATCCTGTATCGTAAGAGGAGAAATTAAACTTTAAATAGGGTGCACCATTTTTCTAATAACAGCTTAAAATATACAAAATACTGCGGTTGCAATCCACCCGTTGAGCGTGGCAGCTATGGTAAATATCTCTCTTATGGAGAAACTAAAAGGAAAACCTACGTTCAACAGTGAACTTTCGAAAGGTGTAATAAACGAATCAACGAATAAAATGTAATAATAATTTATATGTAACGTATATATATATATTTATATTTGATAACTATAATTCTATTTTAAAACCATTCACTAGCTGGTATTTGAAGTAACAGGGCTCCGACTAAATCTCAGCACAGCAAAAACAGTGCAGCAGGTTACTGCGCCATTTCACGTAGTTAGAGTTCCATTATTTATTATGTACTTATAAAAGTAAATTTACAGCCTATATACGTCAAATAATTTAATAGAGGGTAAACGAGCACATAGTGGACTGTTATAACGTGTTAGAGCCACGCCGCAGCTATATTATGGTTGTTGCACGAATAGGTCGGCTCGATCAGGGAATTACCACGCTCTCACAGCATCTACTTACCATCAGGTGGATCAGGTCGACCTGGTGGTAAGTGGATGCTGTGAAAGTTTGGTCGAACCAACCTGTTCATGCAATAACCATAATATAGCTGCGGCGTGTCTCTACCATGTTATAACATGGTTTGTTTGATAAATAACTATTACGGTTACGATTTATTAAAAAATACAAACATTTGAATTTTTAGTGATTGATCTTAAGGCATTTAAAAATTAAGAAGTATTATCGCTTAAATCCTTGAAATACCTTATTGATTTAATGCAACAACTTCTCTTTTGTACGAGACCGATAATCGTGTCAAAGGATGGACAAATTAAGCTTAAGCTACAAGACGTGCTCTATAACGAGTTGGAAACGGTTGTGTTACTTTGTACGTTCTAGACTTATCTCTCGTTCGTAGACTTATCTCTCTCGGGCTTAAATATTTGTATTTCATGTTTGGCCTTTTAAAACCAAGTTCAGAATTTAATTGACTAAAATCGCTTTTATTGTTTTCGTGGAAGATAAAATTACAACTACAGAAGAGGGGTTCAATATAAAAAG